AATGAATGAATGAATGAATGAATGAATGAATGAATGAATGAATGAATGAACAAAAGAGTCTTTTGGTGAACTAAAGAATTTTGAGACAGTGCAAATAATTAAGGTGGCTCGAAACAACTTCCAGACCTTTCCAAGATTTAATTTTTTTTTTCTGTAACTAAGTAATTACAGTGTATCGATGTTCGCAAATAAGTAATTATTGCGTATTGTAAGTAAGCAAGTAACGTAATGCAAAGTATTTAGTAAGTTGGTTTTTTCACGTGTTGTATGTGATGTTTGTAAGTTAGTAAAAGCGTTAAAAAAGACTTAAATTTTGATGGGTCATTATAACCACTCTGTACCAGTCGATGCCACAATCATGGCATAAAAAAATTTCCCAAGCATTGGTGAACACGTTTTTATGATTTTCGTGGCACAATAGGTTACCATAGCAACAGTCTTGGAAAGTGCTGGAAACTGTTTTTAGCCACCTCAAACCAGCTATGTCACGGATGATGTATGTTCAATAAATTAGCCTTACTTTGTCAAGTATATATTTTGTAATTCGTCTTCATTGTCTGCAGTCCTTGCTTTTCTTGTTCCTTTCCGGCTTATTTAATACTACTTATTAATTGTAAAAGGGTGGTACTTATAGCAACATAGCGTGAATTCTTTGAGGTATGTGGGTCAGTTTACCTTTTTGCATTCTCGGTACAGTGGCAGTGCACTTTCTGTAGACTTCCCACGTAATACCGATAACAACCAATGCGAGAAATACTGCGAGAAGACCGTACAAGATCAACCGAGTCATTTGAGATCCAGTGGAAAATAATCCCTCCATTTGATCCGACAAGTCTGCGGTCTAAAGAGAGTTAACAGATAACCTTTAAGAGTTGTTAGTAGTTATATGAGTTATCTTTAGTGTTTACATAAAAAACAAGCAAATCTCTCTTTGGCTTATATTTTGGCTTCTTGTCACCTCCTACACTACAAAGTTCTTTCATGTGATGAAATAAGTACTTGGTTGATTAATTGACTGACTGACTGTCTGTCTGTCTGTCGGACTGACTGGCCGAATGACTAACTGACCGAATGACTGGCAGACTGCCGGGCTGGCTGTTTGACTGACTGACCGACTGAAAAATCGATCGATCTATATCCTTAGAAAGACATCGGTTACATAGCACTACAGAAATCCAAAAAAGCGTCTCGATCAAATGTTTAGCAAACATTTAACGGACTAATATTGCACTTAATTCTTTATTGACTATCAAAATTCTTTGGTACAGAGATATACACAATCTCATGAGTTCTCTTCCCACATGTAATCAAGTTTAATTAGCGGGATTTCAAATCATAGTAGTGTTACGTGGGAAATCAAATAATGTGATTTTGCGTTGGTCAGTTCAGCATTCATAAAATAATTTACCTGTAGTTCGGCGGGTATGAGCTGGTTTCTTGCAGTTTCTTTGCTCGCCGAAACCAGTTCCGTAGAAGCGTCTTTCAACTTTGGACCACATTCCGCTATCTTTTTTTTCCTTTGCACAAGCTCTGTATCGGAGTTGTTCTTGCCATTTGGTGACAGCGAAGGGTTTGGTACTACTCCTTTGCTCACATGTGCTAGGTAATAATACATTGGATAATCAATATAGCGAATAAGTCGAATTTGTCTGTTTCTTTTCAAGCCAGACTTATCCAGGAAGTGAAATGCTGTGTTCCGGTCCACAAGAACTCTTCCAATAACTCCCTCACTTAGATTCCACTGCATTTCTTCTAGGTTGCTAAACCCTATGGATTCAAATAATTTAAGACGAAATTCGTTATTTTGCAACAATTAAGAGAGTTTTCATACGCTCATTTGCTGGAGCTAAGGCCAATGAGAGTACAGACCACAAACATGACATAACCTGCAATGTAAAGCAAGATAATTTGAAAAACTTGGTATCTTGTCGTTTCCGAAAAACCGCCAAAAAAAAAAAGAAGAGTTGTTATTTGTCAGTTAAGACATTTGGGTCGAAATTTTCAACAAGCTTGGACGAATTTAAGCGAACAAAGTTAAATTTATGTCTTGGCGCAAATATCTCCAGCCAATTTGCGGGACACCCATTAGAGATATTGTAAAAATCAAATCCGTGGTCTGCACTCTTATGCCGGCCCATAACATATGACACCATGAAATCGTCAACAATACTTTGCAATGAAATCACTTCACTTGACTCTTTACTTACTGACAATCTTTGCATTGAATTCCCTTGCAACTATTTGTGTTTCGGTATTCTCCATGAACACACCCACCTAGAAAGTAAAAAATACTAGAATAGGAAAGTATTTTTTACATCCTCACTAACTCCGAACTCAAAAGTTCCACGAATACCTGCAGGAGCACTAAAAAATTTCTAGTTTATTCCACGTTCTTTTTTAAAGGCGACCGAGATGAAGAGAAATGAATACGTAACAGTCGTCAGTGTGATGGCATATGAAACGATAGTTACTATCCAACTACAGATATATGGCTTAATGACCAAGTGTGAGGTCAAGATGGCTGGATATTGGTCATGATCAAGTTCTTTTTTTTGTTTTTGTTTTTTTTGCGTGTTTATGGACCGAGACGGAGTGGAGGTCCATAAACTCGCAAAAAAAGAACGAGGCCAATACCAAGCCATCTTGACCGAACAAGCTTGGTCAATAAGGAATTTATTATATGCCTTTCGGAGAAATTTTTCTTGCGGGACACGGCGGGTAGTCCCGACCGGGCAAGATAGCTCCATCTTACCCGCTCGGGTAGCCAATCACAGCGCGGGACTGATTTGATTCATCTTGCCTGCTCGCGGAGCTAGCCGTTTAATAAATTGATATATTGAAAGCGATATACAATGACAACTATAGCTAAGTAAACTAAGACGTGCGTGACTAAATAGCCATAGTAAAAAAAAGTATAGTTCTTCTATTGAAATTTGGTTTGACTGTGATATCAAGATTATTCTTGTGATTTTGTAACACCCACCTCTTTACCATCAATATCTTTGCATATTGTGCCATCAAGAGCTGTATTCATGGCATTCGTAGCCATAGCAGTGAACATTGACAGCATGATCGCTCCCACAAAGATCCAGATTACACCGAACAAGCGTCCGAGGGAGGACTTTGGGATTTTGTCACCGTACCTATTAGATAAAAGTGTTTATGATTTCTTCTGGGTCTTAATTCTGGATATACGGTGAGACAACTCTAACCCAATAAACTTCAATGCGGAAACGTTTTCTAGTAAAATCGTTATAAGGAATAAAAGAGACAATACAAGCAGAAGTGAGAAGATAAATTACCCTACTGTCGTAAGTGAGACCACAGCCCACCAAAACCCCTCAGGTGAGCCGGCTGTAAACGAGGGTGAAAACTGTCTTCTGTTTGTTCTGTGTTCCTGCGTTAAAAAACAACACAAACACGTAACTTTATCACTCAACTCAAACTCAAACATTCCTTATTGACCGCAATTGATTGCTATTAGAAACTGTAAAATAACTGAAATGCTACTGGCGGTTAGGTGTGTTTTGATGAGAGTATGTAGACACGGTTGTGACGTTTAAGATTTGCGCCTATTTTTGAGAATTATTTTATAAAAGCAATGGAGCACTTTTTTTGCGTTAACATAGCCTCATCTAAACACGAGGGGGTTTGGAGAATTCGAGACAGGTATACAAACCCAAGACGCAATCGAGGGTTTGCATAACGTTCAAGAATTTTCCCAACCCCCGCGTGAAATTCTCGAGTGAAATTCTCGAAAGTTATGCAAACCCGAGACGCACTCGAGGGTTTGCATAACTGTCTCGAATTCTTCAAACCCCCTCGTGTTTAGATCGGGCTATGTAAACACAGACAAAGTGCTCTACTGCTTAAGTTTAAGCTCCCATAAAAAAACTGAGACTTGTGACATACAGAGTTTGTAAATAAATTCATGTTCTAATTGATTCCTTACCAATAGCCAGATAACAACTCCAGAAATCCCCGATAACAGTATAATACAAGCTAGGATCGGCCATTGTGACGTAATAGAAGTCAGTAACTGTGCCCGCGACCCTTCCTCACACTGTTTTGTGTTCACAATCAGTGAACACCCAGGTGATACAAATCCTCGGATGAGCGTCACGTTGGCTTCTTCCTTAAGGGCTGCCTTGGCGTCCGCTTGAATGGGAAAAGCAAAATCTACGCTCTTGTTTTTGATCAGCTCCACCATCTCGTCCGAATTTTGAACAAGTCTGCGCTCCATGTTGCATACATGATCCTTAGGTTTGTCTTCATCAAAGCACTCCTTATTTACAAACCAACGTATTTTATCGCACATAAAGCCTCCCGTTGAGCTTGTGTTAATGATGTAAGGTGGAAAGTCTAGCAGAGCGATGGTGTACCCACAGCTGGGCAGATGAGATTGACGGGCATGACGAGTTTGAGCATGTGACCTTGTTCCAGGGGCTTGGCGAGCAACTCGGGATTGGTGAGTTGTATCAGTCTGAAGATTTTCACTTTGGACGAGCCATAACTCGGAGCCAACCAAGAAGCCGATCACTAAGACTAAAGTAACACTATTCATTCTGAATGCTGAGGTTTCTAGCGAGAAGGATCCGAATTCAGCTGTTTAAATTCCAATCTGAAAGGAGGAAATTTGATCAATAATAGGAAAGTATTCATGGAAGATATGATGAGCTTCGTATCAACTGTACTGTAAACACAGTTAACGATTTGGCGTCGACGGTTAACTGATAGATCAAGACTGCAAATAAACCGTGGTCGCTCTACTTTGACCAAGTTAACAACCCCGCAGTGTTCTTTGACAACTGTAAATTAAAGAAAATTGCTTACAAAACATTTATGGTTAGGAAAAGGGGCAAGCTAGACTTTTGACTTTGAGCCTAATGTAAAAAGTAACAGGGTCATAGTCAGGCGTTCGTCAGCGATGAGGCAAGTCGTACGAGTGTCATAGTTGCGAGCTGCCAGGTCGTGGGACACGCCTGCAATGAGAGGTCTCTGAAATCGATATCCTTAGTCCTAAGAAAATTCGTGCGCTGATTGGTTAAAAATCGTGTTTCTATTTAACAATTAGATTATGAGCTCGAGATTTCTGTGAGGTGATAGTTGATTCGGCCTTCGGCCTCATCAACTATCACCTCATAGAAATCGAGAGCGAATAAGCTAATTGTTTTAGTAGGTTTCTTACTAGAATTTTATTTCAAATAACGGTTTCCAATTATTTCTTGACGTATTATTAAACGTTGCATCAGAAAAAGGTCGCTTGGATTGACTTGTCATTTAAAATTGAAGTTGTGTGCACGCGCATCAGTTTTTTCAATAATTTTAACTTTTTTAAAAGTCAAGAAACCGTAAATGTCCTTCGTTTAGACTTCTCGGGATTTTAATTGTCTATTTGCATCAAAATTTTCCTCCAAAACTTCGGAAAAACGTCGCCATTTCCTTGACGACCTCCAGCCACTGCACACTAATGGCTGATAGTGTTCAATGGCTCAGCCGATCAGATTACAGCATTTGCATTGGTATACTAGTAAAATTCTACTAAAACTCGATAGAAACACAGAACTAGCACGAGCTGTTGACGTAATGATGACGCGAGCAGAGAGAATTTACATTTTTATAATCAAAGTTAACAAGTTGTTTTCATTTTTGTTCGTAGCGGTGTTTTCTAAAAGAAATAGAAAACATGTTCTCCGTGTTTCTATCGGGTTACAGAAACACTCTAGAAAGTTTGGAAGGACTCGAAAAAGCTGTGGAAACACTCGCCTGCGGCTCGTGTTCCTATTATACCTCGGCCATTGTCCCATCTTTTAGAAACTTCTAATGTGTACCATGAAGGAAGGGTTGACCAACTTACTGAAAAAATACTTGCATAGGATTATATACACTGTAGATACCTAAGAGACGTTTTATCCATTTGTGTCCGAGACCTACGTTTTACTTTCTTATTTTTTATATTTTTAAGATAGTGGTAGAAAGGTCAGCACTGGTTTCTTGGTCATCAAACTGATCCAAATAAATAGAGCGGCTAAGAGCATTGCCGACAATTTCTTATGAGATTAAGTAGCTATACGAGGTCGATGATTTCTTGAATACATGATTGAATAATAGGCACCGAATTACTCTACCATGCCATAGACAAAAGGCTTGTAAAAGGATGCACTTGGGCAAATGTAACTGAATGCACCCATGTTATAACGATAACAAGCAATGTCGTGGTAGATATTTTTAGGAATAGTTTTTCCAACCACCGAACGACACGCAAGTCGTTCCTAGGGCCAATATATGCAGTTCTTCGTTCTCGCACTCACAACAGGAAAAACAAACGCCTACGGACTTCCCCCCTCCAGTATTTTTCCAGACCATGGACCAAGGACGGTTGTTTTCTACAAATACATCGCAACGGAGTCTCCCTGTCGTTGAGGGAGGCTTATAACGACAAAGTTGACGTAAAGCTTACGGCAATTAATTGAAATCATCGAGAATTATTTCTTGCGAAATCATCGGTAGACAGGAAAAAAAGAATAATAAGATATACCTCGTTAATGATGGGGTTTCTGTTGCTACATCATGCAAAATTCCTGCAAAGGATCACAAAAGCTTGTCAAAGGCTTAGCAACTTCTATTTTCTTAGAACTAGCGGCTTTCATAACGGAAAAATAAAGCCTGACTTGTGCTTTGCATGCCTTCTAAAAGACTTCAATTATTCATTAAGTTAAAGAGCGGATGTCGCATGCCATCAATATTCTATAAGGTATGGATCACTTATTGCCCTGCCATACATTACCTTTAAAGTTGTTAGTTTATGTTCGTGATCGTCAAAATGATGATTCGAAGAAGCGGTGTTTTGAAATTTCGCCTGAAAATTTTCTAACATGTAGGCTGATCGGCGACGGTGTTCCTCGAAAGGCACGGGCGTCGAAAAGGTCACATCATTAGCATAGAAGTCATTTAAATTTACAATTGAGGTAAAATGCCATGATGGCAATTAAAGGGAAAGAGTCTACTCCATCATGCGGTGACTGGATAAAGGAGAAACAGCAGGGAAATGAAAAGGTTATTGTCTTGGCGCAAGCAATCGAGGCACCTTATTATAATTATTATTAACACAGATACAAACCAACAGCCTGGTATTTAGCATGCAAGAAAAAAAATTGTCTGGAACATCAATAACCCTGTCCGTATTAATTTACATAACCTGGTTTAATTATTTTCCAGTTCTCTGGCATCATAATATTTACAAAGCTCTCGCCAGTTCACCTAGGCCACAATATCCTATTTTTTCGTTAAAAACAAAGGAAAGCCATGCATGGTCATCTGAAAATCACTGTTTACAAACGCTTTATTACTCAGCAAAACAGAATAAGCTTTTGAAAGTGAAGAATGATCATCGCAGTAAATTTTCCAATTTAAGCAACTGGAAAGAAGAAGCCTGAAAAAATCAGGGCTTCAACGGGATTCGAACC